GGTTGTTTAGTGTTTGATTGGAAAATTGACACGGTGAGCCGAACGGTTTTAACTAATTAAAAGTTGGGGGGCTCGGGTGACTAAGTGAGTAGGCTTAGATCTAGATCTAGAATCTAGTGAGTTTAGACTCAACAGTAATACCCTTGTGGGATCAATAAAACTAATTTGTAAATTTATGTCTTTACTACTTTGAAGTCAGTATTCCATGAGTAAGAAACGCGAGCGATTCTTGAATTAAAAAGTGGAGACCCCGAACCGTCACTTCAGTTTGGGAAATTTTTCGCAGCATGTCCGACACTAAAGCATAAGCCTAGATTTTTTGTCGAATAACTTTCGATCCCGTTTACTTTTAACCTAGATTCTCTAAACGGCACTCTTCGAGGGAAGTGGTCCCGGCTTAACACCATAGAAATAACACTAAGACTTGTAGTCAGAAACAAAAACACAAGTCGAGTAAAAAAAGCTGTCTTCGGTAATTTTTTTTCCTTACTTCGAGTTTAGAATATTTCCCACATTATTTTTTTTTTCATCAATGGCCTTTTCACCCTGGAAACTCAAGCCAGCTTTTTTAATCGGCTTCCGTTTTTGTTTCCGATTGCAAGTGTTATTTCTACGGAATTAGGCCGGGACCACTTCTCCCGAAGAGTGCCCTCTAAACGATTGACAACCCCGTTTTGTCTTTTCGAGCAAAACTTTTTTCAACGTTACAGATTGGTGTGGAAGGGCACTTTTCTTAGAGAGGCCAGAATATTGCTCGATATGAGTATTGCGGAATTATTTTCTTACGGATATTGATATGTAAATGGGACAAACTGATACAAGACCGGGAACGGTAGCTCGATAACATTAACAATCGGTGCCGTCTGTCTCAAGTCATCCGTAAGAAAAGCGTGTCTTTTCATCGGAAAGGTACAGCACGGGCAAAAATTGTTTTGGTGTGGAGTGACATCCCCATTCCGTCCCTCATGTTTAAACCGACTGCGTCAGTGTCATTCTGTAGGTATTAATTTTAAATAACGTATCCAAGCCCTCTGACCTGGTAACCGTAACAGTTTTGGTCAG